ACAAATCACAGATCAAAAGTTTAAACTGAGAGAATGTATCATTTTAAGGGAAAAATCTGTTGTTTCCAAATTTCATGGCGTCAACAAATCCCAAAAAAGTTGGGACAAGTCCATTTTTACCACTGTGTGGCATCCCCCCTTCTTCTTACAACACTCAACAGACGTCTGGGGACAGAGGAGACCAGTTTCTCAAGTTTAGAAATAGGAACGCTCTCCCATTCATGTCTAATACAGGCCTCTAACTGTTCAATCGTCTTGGGCCTTCTTTGTCGCACCTTTCTCTTTATGATGCGCCAAATGTTCTCTATAGGTGAAAGATCTGGACTGCAGTCTGGCCATTTCAGTGCCCGGATCCTTCTCCTACGTAGCCATGATGTTGTGATTGCTGCAGAATGTGGTCTGGCATTATTGTGTGGAAAAATGCAGGGTCTTCCCTGAAAGAGATGACGTCTAGATGGGAGCATATGTTGTTCTACAACCTGAACATAGTTCTCTGCATTAATGGTGACTTTCCAGACATGCAAGCTGCCCATGCCACAAGCGCTCATGCAACCCCATACCATCAGTGATGCAGGCTTCTGAACGGAGCGTTGATAACAACTTGGGCTATCCTTGTCCTCTCTGGTCCGGATGACATGGCGTCCCAGTGGTCCATAAAGAACTTCAAATCATCACTCATCTGACCACAGAACAGTCTTCCATTTTGCCACACTCCATTTTAAATGACCCCTGGTCCAGTGAAAACGTCTGAGCTTGTGAAGCTTGCTTAGAAATAGCTTCCTCTTTGCACTGTAGAGTTTCAGCTGGCAACGGCAGATGGCACGGTGGATTGTGTTCACTGACAATGCTTTCTGGAAGTATTCCTGAGCCCATTCTGTTATTTCCTTGACCGTGGCATTCCTGTTTGAGGTGCAGTGACATTTAAGGGCCCGGAGATCACGAGCATCCAGTAGAGTTTTACGGCCTTGACTCTGCACAGCAATTGTTCCAGATTCTCTGAATCTTTTGATGATGTTATTCACGGTTGATGATGATAACTTAAAAGTCTTTGCTATTTTACGCTGGGTAACACCATTCTGGTATTGCTGCACTATCTTTCTGCGCAACAATGGTGGAATTGGTGATCCTCTTACTATCTTGGCTTCTGAGAGACACTGACACTCTGAGAAGCTCTTTTTATACCCAATCATGTTGTCAATTGACCTAATTAGTGTTAATTGGTCTTCCAGCTGTTCGTTATATGCTCAATTTCCTTTTCCAGCCACTTATTGCTACTTGTCCCAACTTTTTGGGGATTTGTTGACACTGTGAAATTTTGAATCAACATATTTTTCCTTTAAAATGTTACATTTACTCAGATTAAACTTTTGATCTGTCATCTATGTTATATTACAAATAAAATATTGACATTTGCCATCTCCACATCATTGCATTCAGTTTTTATTCACAGTTTGTTTAGTGTCCCAACTTTTTTGGAATCCAGTTTGTACAAGGCAATAGCCAATGCTAGGTTATCTAAACGTTAGCTTGCTAACCCAACATTTTTCAGTCAGGTCATCTGGACAGTTTCTTTTTTTTTTGTGCTGAAACGTTTCGCCTTCCATCTGGAAGGCTTCATCAGTCAAGGAAACACACAACAAAACTGATTCTTCCCCCAACAGCTTATTCCAAAGTGGAACAAACCAGTTCTGCTTGTGATAAGATGGTCTCTTTGGTACACCCCCTCCTCGACTGCCGCCCTCTTCCCTGTTGACAGTCTTGTCAAACTGGTTGAAAACAACAAAGTCCATGCTCAATAATCCAGGTATACAATCCAACATTTTATTGAGCATGGACTTTGTTGTTTTCAACCAGTTTGACAAGACTGTCAACACGGAAGAGGGCGGCAATGGAGGAGGGGGGTGTACCAAAGAGACCATCTTATCACAAACAGAACTGGTTTGTTCCACTTTGGAGTAAGCTGTTGGGGGAAGAATCAGTTTTGTTGTGTGTTTCCTTGACTGATGAAGCCTTCCGGACCGAAGACGAAACGTTTCAGCACAAAAAAAAAGAAACTTTCCAGATGACCTGACTGAAAAATGTTGGATTGTAAACCTGGATTATTGAGCATGGACTAAAATAAACTTATCATGCTCTGTTCAACAAAATAGCTACACAGTATGCTACTTGGCTGTGATGAAAGTGAAAGTGAAACTTCAGTGAACAGCCATGACTTGAAAGTAGTTTTCATTCGCCCTCTGCTGGATACATTGTACAATTACGTCTGTTTTCCAGCATTTTAGGAGTGAAAATTAGAAGTGCTTATATCGGTACATAATGGGACAATCATCACAGATACCGATATGTCCCCAAACGGCCATATCTGCCTAAATTATTAGCCTTACCGATATATCAGTCGGGCTCTTCTACATTCATTGTTCAGATCCATCAGTGACGGGGGACGTCGGCATACCACTTGTAAAATATTTGCGTCATTGCAACAAGTGGTCTATTATTTTGTAGCAATAAAAAAAAGTTTGCATTTAATTCAGGGACCTTCACTGGGGAAATGTTTTGGTTAAAACAACCAAACAGAAGATGGAAAGCTTCCTGCTCAATGGAACGGCTCACAGTGTGGAAACCAAAGGCGTGCTGGTTCGACTCATCGACTATTCTCTCTCCAGGGTGGAAATCGGTCAGTATTTACATTCCCACCTGCTACTTGATGCAAACACTGGCCTGTTTTATGTCTGTATTACTGGTACGTCATTTTGTTTAAAAAACAAAACAAAACATGATTGAACATATTTTGTCCTCTTTAGATGATCTGACGGTATCCTGTGACATCTCAAACGACGAGGAGCTCTTCATGGGTCAGGGAGACTACCAGTTTGAAATCTACAGACTGATGAGAGAAGAGAATGGGTCAGTGCTAAATCCAGAATCATCCATGTCTTACAAAGGCCTTCTGTTCTGTAAACGTTCTGTTTTTATTTCTTTTTGGGAGGTGTTTCAGGTTGCAGGACTGAGCCTTCATAAACTTTGTTAGGTGGTGGTTCATGAAGCAAAAGACTGAGAAGTAATTTTAAGAAACACATTGTTTTCTAAGGTTTTAATAATTATTTTAAAGCAGAACAATGAGATAAAGTTGCATAGTGCTTGTTTTCTCATACATGGGATGCAGTCAGGGCAGCACGGTGGCGCATCTGGTAGAGCTGCTGCCTCTCAGCGAGCAGGTCCTTGGTTCAAACCCCGGTCCAGGGGCCTTTCTGGGTGGAGTTTGCATGTTCTCTCCGTGCATCCGTGGGTTTTCTCCGGGTGCTCCGGTTTCCTCCCACAGACCAAAAACATGCATGTTAGTCTGATTGGTAACTCTAAATTGTCCCTAGGTGTGAGTGAGAGAGTGAATGGTTGTTTGTCTCGTTTATCTCTATGTGTCCCTGTGATGGACTTGCGACTCGTCCAGAGTGTCCCCCGCCCATGGAATAAGCGGGTAAAGATGATGGATGGAGGGATGGAGGGATGGGATGGGATGGGATGCAGTCATGTCTTTAAAATGAAAACCTTCACTTTAGCTTGGTGTCTCCAGAACTCATTTCTCACTTTTGTAGATTTGGTCCTGTAAAGTCACTGATAAACATTTAAAGTTACACGTTTTCAGTGACTTCTTATTGCAAAACTTCTCTTATTTGTTTGTACTTTTTAAAATTCTAAATACTTCTTCATACTGTGTGACATTTTAACTATTCATATATCAATCATGTTCATCTCATTCAGGAAATGGGTGCTAGTTCTATACTGTATATATATTTTTTACTTTTATAAAATTCATCCATCCATTATCTTTACCTGCTTCTTCCTTTGTGGGTCACGGGGGTCACTGTTGCCCATATCCAGCCATCACTGTGCGAGAGGTGGGTACACCCTGGACAGGTCTCCAGTCCATCACAGCGACACATCGAGACAAACGAGACAAACAACCATTCACTCTCTCACTCACACCTAGAAACAATTTAAAGTTACCAATCAGCCTAACATGCATGTTTTTGGTCTGTGGGAGGAAACTGGAGTACCTGGAGAAAACCCACACATGCACGGAGAGAACATGCAAACTCCACCCAGAAAGACCCCTGGACTGGGATTTGAACCAGAGACCTGCTTGCTGAGAGGCAGCAGCTCTACCAACTGTGCCACTGTGCTGCCCTCGCTTTATAAAATATTTATGTTTACAAATACTTTCCCAGTAGATATACATTAATATCTTTACAATTCAAGAAAAAAAAAAAATCATTCTGTGAAATACTTTGTATCTAAAGAAAGTAGCTGCATATAGTTTTGTCTTCTTTGCATCTATTCTACTTTTATTCTTCTAGCTTTTAGCTACCTTTTTGCTATTTTCAATTTTTTGCTGTCCTTTTGCTACTTTTAGCTACAGTTCTGTTACTTTTAACTTTTATCCATCCTTTTACTACTTCTAGCTAGTATTGCTGCTTTTGGCTTTTAATGTAAAAAAAAGGGTGATGTTTTCCAATTTAGCACTTGTAGCTATCCTTTTGCTACTTTAAGCTACAATTTTGCTCATTTTAATTTATCTTGCCTCTTCTAGCTAGTTCTGCTGTTTCTCACTAGTCTTTTGCTGCTTTTAGCTTACGTTTTAGAACTTTTAGCTAACTGTTCTGCTACTTTTAGCTTGTATTAAGCATTTGGCTTCTTCTAGCTAGTTTTGCTGTTTCTCACTAGCCTTTTGCTACTTTTACTTTTAGCTAACATTTGTTATTTTGAATTTTGAGCAATCCTTTTGCTACAGTTCTGCTAGTTTTAGCTTTTATCCAGCCTCTTGCTACTTCTAGCTACGGTGGTTTTGCAGCTTCTCACTAGCGTTTTTCTTTCTTTAGCTTTGAGCTACCATTTTGCTACTTTTAGTTAGTGTTCTGCTTGTTGCAGCTTTAAGTTAATTTCAGAAACGTTCAGCAGCCACTCAGCTTTCACACTTGCTCGTTTATCTTTAATGTCGCCTCTTTTCCCAGAATCAGATTTTTATTAGCAATAAACTTTAAGGGCAGCTTGTTTATTGACTAAAATAATATCAAACTGTTAGCTTTTTACTGACAGACAGCATTGGGATCTTGTGGATTATTTTTCTTCGTTTACCGTGTTAAACCAACACTACAGTTCTTGGTAACTTTTTAAATTTGTCTTTTCCTTTTTATTTTATATATTTTTTAAAGAAACAACTGGAGTACTTACCACCCCCGCACCAACGTGCTGTGGCTCCACTACCTGTGCTCCAAATTGCTCTCCATGAAGTATCGTAGCCTGAAGAGAAGGGCTTTCAAGACCGTGCACGAGGAGCTGACTTGTTTCCATGGCGACATCCTCCGGTGCAGCTCTGCCACAGAGGCTCTGCAGACCTGCTCTTTGTTTCAACAGCACTGAACACACAACGTGTAAGAAGCAAACCGTTTCAGACGAGAAAAGTCTTTTATCTTGACGGTCCACAGAAGAACTGATGAACGATGCTCTTGTTCATCAGTCCAGTGTCCAGTTTTGTAACAAATCAAATTAAAATAAAATGTAGCATTTGTTTTTTCCCCTTTATTTCTACTGTGGCTATTTTATTGTTTTAGCCTTTGGTTTGAAATGCTTCTATTTTTAACATTATCTGGACTTGACTCAAAACATGCATCGATTAAAAAACTCAGTAAAAGTACTGGCAGTGGGTACTTTAGTGGGTTGTTAGTACTTTAGTGTGTTTAACTTCAAAATCATAATGAAAACAACCGGAGACCGACTATTTTTAATCTAAAGCGTCGTTACTTTTTGATTCAGCAGCTCAGTTCTTTTAAGTTGATTTTTCTGAACTTCTGTTTGTGAGTGAGAAACTGCGCCTTAGCCTCTAAAAAGTGGTTATTTTTGAATTTTTACTTGGATGAATCAATAATAAATTACTGTTAGGACCCAGAGTTGTGCAGAAAGACGACTAAATTTTACATATCTTTCTGACTGCTGAACTCTGGGATCATTTTTAATCAATAAAAACGTAATCAGTTGCAGACGTGCATCTATTATTTCCTGAAAGTTTAATTAAAATCCGTATGGTGCGGGGGTGTCCACAAAGTGTGGCCCGAGGCCCCATTTGCAGCCCTTAGAGTGTTTTTGTGCGGCCCATGACTGCCAATTTAAAAATTATATAATTTTGGCCTGTAGACTTAAAAGGTTGATGCAGATGTTGACTTTCTGCACATTTCATGGAGATATAATGGAATTTATATATATAACTTCACAAACATTTGGCTATAGTTAAATCTTTAGTTTTTTCCTGGAAAAAAGCATCACAAAGCTGACTTCTACCAAAAAGTTGAGTTTTGGGTATTCATTCATAAAACTTGGCTAAATATAACAAGTTTTCAAAGAAAACAGCTGATTTGATAATGGATAGAGGGGACGTTTGTGAATTTTAAAGGAACATATGAAGTGGTACCATCTACATACAAGATGATTAACTTTATTAGTGTCCTTTCAAACCTGTGAATCTGTTTCAGAGGAAAGAACAGCGACTCGTATTACACTTTTGTTTCTGAGAAGAAACTAAAATTAAGCACAAGAAAACAAAACATGACCCAAAAATAAAATGTTATAATAAATAAATTAAGGTTACCTGGTAATGTTTGTGAGGCTTTTGTTTTAGATTAATAATATAGAACTCCACCAAAATTACTAAACTTTTGTCCTTTCTGCTAAATATTGTTCATAGTTGAATTAGTAAAACATGTACGCCTGTGTTTTTTATTTTTATTTATCATCTTAAATTCAAGGTTTTGAGGCCCGTGCTCACTTTCATCAGTTTTGGCCCACATATGAAAAAGTTTGGACACCCCTAGCCTTGTGGCTCGTGATCATTTGTAACAGACACAAAAACTTTTGTCTCGTCGACGGTAGGCAATATTCTTTTTAACTTCAGAAAAAACGAAGTGCTTAGAAAAACAAAATATGTTTATTCAACTTTTCATTAAGAGTATCATACATTTTGCATCGAAACAAACGTACTTTTGGTACGATGACTCGCGTGTGTCCATTTCGATGGAGGTCTTTGACCGGATTTTGTTCAAACGCTTCCACACTTGAAGAGACACTTGGTTGTTGATTAAAAAAAAAAAACAGTTCACTTGCTTGGAGTAACTCTGTGATGGGGTTAGAGAAACAGCAGTGTTTAAAAAAAGGAAGACTGCCTTATAAAAAGAAGCACAAGAGATTTCAAACTGTATAAATAAGACCCGGCAGACTCATGTTCTCAGAAGAGGTCAGGCATGTGTTGAGAAGCACTTTTTGGTTGAACTTTGAGGCAATGTTTGAGATGGCCTTGCTGGTGATGAGCCCATAAATACTGTGTTGTCGTGCTCATGTCTCTGTGCTTTAAAAAGTTTGTTTCTGTTAGAAGCAGTTTGTACAGGAAGCAATGAGCTGTATATGAGATGCACTTGCAGCAGTTGTGTTTTTTTGCATGTATTTGTGCTCAGAAGGAGAAGTATTTGGTGAACCACTCCTGCTTCAGCCCTTCTGTCCCCCTCAGCTCCAGATACGGACCCCTAAAAGACAAGGACACATGTTGACCTGTTAAACCAGTACAAAGACTGACGTAAAGAAATTCCCTTTAAAATTATTGGAATGCCGTATAAAATATAAACTATTTGATCCCAACAAAGTCCATGCTCAATAATCCAGGTATAAAATCCAACATTTTTCAGTCAGGTCATCTGGACAGTTTTTTTTTTTTTTTTTGTGCTGAAACATTTCGCCTTCGATCCAGAAGGCTTCATCAGTCAAGGAAACATGCAACAAAACTGATTCTTCCCCCAACAGCTTACTCCAAAGTGGAACAAACCAGTTCTGCTTGTGATAAGATGGTCTCTTTGTCACGCCTCCTCATCCATTGCTGGCCCTCTTCCTTGTTGACAGTCTTGTCAAACTGGTTGAAAACAACAGTCCATGCTCAATAATCCAGGTATACAATCCAACATTTTACAGTCAGGTGAAAATGTTGGATATTTGATCCCAGCTTCAGAAAAATATAAGAGCAGTTCCTAAAATAATATATGCCAAAATTTTAAAGAAGTGACAACTGTTAGCGGTCAAGTATGTTTTGAGAGACTCTCGGATATGATCACACCAAATTTTAGCTCAATATTTGTAAAAATGACTTGCAAATAGAATAGCCAGGCTACAAGGAGCAGAGGTCACAAAGGTGCAGGACTTCAAGTACTCGGGGTCCACTGTCCAGGAAAACAGAGAGAACGGAGTCCAGGCAGGATGGAGAAAAGTTTCAGGAGTGATTTGTGACAAAAGGGTGTCAGCAACGGTCAAAGGAAAAGTTTACAAGACAGTGATGAGACCAGCTATGTTGTATGGTCTGGAGACAGAGACATGGGCACAAAGACAGGATATAGAACTGGAAGTGGCAGAAATGAAGATTTTGAGGTTCTCCTTAGGAGTGACAAGGATGGATAAGATTAGGAATGAGATCATCAGAGGTACAGCACAGGTTGAACAACTGGGAGATAAAGTTAGAGAGACCAGACTGAGATGGTTTGGACATGTCCAGAGGAGGGACAGTGGGTATACTGGTAGAAGGATGTAAGAAATGCAGCTGCCAAGAAAAAGACAAAGAGGAGATATAATGTATGGATGCAGTTAGAGAGGACATGGAGGTAGTTGGAGTGAGGACAGAGAGATGGAAGATGACTCCTGAAGAGGAGACGGCCAAAATAAGTAGTAGTTCAGGGCCAAACGAGCAATAGTCTCGTTGACAGGAGGGTTGAGGTGCAGTCAATATAAAAATTATGTAAAAAAAGATGTGGCTTTGTTCCTGTTGAAGACATCTTGAATGCCATGGTAAAAGTAAGGCTCTGTAATGGAATCAGGTTCACATTGATGTCTAGAAGTACCAACTCCCTGTCTTATGTTACACCAACAAGAAAAAGCATACACTGAGGGAATAAAGAGTCAAATACATGGAAACTAAGGATCTGCATAGTTATTAGGAAGGTGACAAGATCTGGGTTACTGGTAAAATGTACAAGGAACAATTGCAAACCATTAAGAAAGCTAGCTTTGACAGTGTTGTCCAAGAATAAAAGCCTCCAGGCTTTAAAGTCCAATAAATAAGTTTATCTTGCTCCGGTAGACTAAAACAAGAAACACCGAAAAGCTGTTCTTGTGCACAGCAAATACAGCTCCCCTACCAACAATGAGCACTAAAGCTCCTCAGTTGCATATTCTGCACAGGCAAAGGGATGGTGACACAGTTTGGCCCCCTAAAACCCAAAGGTTACTGGGAGACTGGGACATATCCAGGAGTAAATCCTTTTTCTGCATCTTATACTGTTTTGCTGGAACAATGAGGACACCAAAATTCTTTGGCAGTTCAAGGAAAAACAATGTAATGAAACCCAGCGGTCCAGTCCTTTTTGTGGCAGATTTAAAGTGCAGGAGACTGAAATATTCTGACCAAGGTGTAGGAGGAAAATGGTTGCAACTCAGATCAGTGATTCTGTGTTTGTTGCGCTGGTCACCGAGCTTCTGCACAGCCAGTGACGTGCAAGATGAGAAAAAACACGAGAACATTTCATAGGATAAACTAACCCCCGAAGCTCAAAGTGATGACTTACTGGATGACAAAAGTTCTGCAGTTGTTGGAGTCAGGGGCGGAGCCATAGTGATTGGCCACCCTCAAATGATTGACAGGTGGGGTGGATTGCATGTGGCATTAAAAGATGGGCAATAAGAGCAAAGGAGTAAATGTCTGTCAAGCAGCTGTATTGTTTGGTGTAGAGGGAACCTATCAGTGTGAAGTGTGTGAAGGAAAAAAACAACTTCTAAACCACTGGATTAGTATAAAGCAACAATTATGTGTATTACTTTTGTGTCTAAGAACCAGTTAATGTAAATTTGGCAACATCTAGTAGCCAATCTGTAACAGCAGTGGTATGGAGCAACTAGAAAAGTTTCTCAAGAAACTTTGACGAGGGCTGCTATGTGGCCGCCATTTTACGTTTATGATGTGACTGTACTATATGTTGGTGATTGCAGCTCCCACCGCACCAAACTTCAGCTCAATTTGTCTTAAATTACCTGTTATAGCTATTTAAATTTAGCTTTGTAGCCATATTGGAATTTTTTATTTGATTTCAGAATCTGTTGGGCATTTATCTCAGCTACCACCACATTAAATGTCAACTTAACATCTCTAAAAATATCTGATTTATAGCATTTTTCCTTTTTAGCTCAGGGGGGCATCTTCCATTATGCATTTGCTGGAGTCTTAGGGATCACTCTCAGCTACCAGTACACAACGTTTCAGCTCAGTAGCTCTAAAAACATCAGAGATTTGAAAGTAGCTGTGGTGCCATCTTGAATTTTTGATTAGCATCCAGAATTTGTTGAAGGTTGTTGTCGGATACTATTAAACCAATTTTCAGCTTCATGTGTCTAAAATTGACTGAAATGTATCACTCTCAAATTAGCATTAGCCCTTAGTTTAAAATTGAAATTAGCTTTCAGAATGCCATACGGATTGCTCTTGGCTACCACCGTACCAAATTTTAGCTTAATATTTCTAAAAATGTCTGAGTTATAGCCATTTGAAATTAGCTTAGGTGGCTATCTTGGATTTTGTATTTGCAAATCAGATTTTGATTTAAAGACTGTTCTCAGCTACCACTATATACATTTTCAGCTTTGTCTAAAAATGGCTGAATTATAGCTCTTTGTAAAATTAGCATTAGCTGTTAGTTTAAATTTGGATTAGCAATTGGCATGTGTTTGGTATTCTTAGCTACATCACAACAAATTTCAGCTCAATAAATCTTAACATGGCTGAACTATAACAGTTTAAAGTTAGTTTTTGGCTACTGCTATAACTGTAGGCCTATGTCTAAAAATGGCTGAATTTGTCTTTTGTAAAATTAGCATTAACAACAGTTGGCTTGAAATCGTGATTCTGAATGTCATAGTGGCTCCTTTTGGCTACTACCATGCCAAGTTTTAGCTCAATACATCTTAAAATGGCTGATTTATGGCAGAAAATGGACATTTTAATCAATTTGTCTTTGGGAAATATTAATAATTGTGTAACTACAGACTGGACAGTTATAAATATGACAATCATACAAAAAGCTGCTGAAGTTGGATGAAGGACTTTTAATAATGTTGTCCTGAATCTGTACAAATCTGACCAAATCCATGCTGCTATCAAGAGCTTGTTTGAATAAACATATTTTCAAGATTTGACAATAATAAGAACATTTTGAACATTTATGTTAAATTAAATCTCCAGGGTGTTTCACCCATGGATCTTCTGTGTGCTTGAATTAGCTAAAAACATTAATTTGGTGTCATAATGTTAGAGACAGACAAAGAGAGATGTATGTGTTATGAAAACTGTCCAAAATGTATGTTTCATAGGTAACATGTTGGAGAAACAGTAGTTTATGTATGTTTATGCATGTGCCCCCCTAAAAAACACAATGGCCACCCCCTGTAAAAAAAAAAAAAAAGTCTATCTCTGCCCCTGGTTGGAGTTGCTCCGGTCTGCAGAGGTGAGGGTTCGGCCTGCAGCTGTTTGTTGGAACCGGGTTAGGAATGAGCTCAGGAGAGGTGGCTGTGAAAAGAGGGTTTCTCCTAAAACTGCTTCATCTAGTGAGACCATGATTCACTCTACTTCACCCACACGCCGCTATGGACGGATTCTGATTCACTGGACCAAAGTTCTCCACTTTACTTCAGTCCTCGTTTTATTTTCATTTGGCCTGTGCAGATCTATTTTCAGTGTTAGTCACCTCTGGTGCATATGTTGTCCTAAAACAGGAGGATTACTGAAAGGCCAGCATTTAGAAGCTGAAATGAACACGTGGTAACGACACGTGTCTCTTTTTGTCTTTCTACCCAGATAAAATGTTCATACCTGATCGAATGGCCTTGGAAGTGTGTGTGTGGATCCTGGCAGGAGGGGGACACGTATCGGATGCCCGTCTGCGGCGATGGGCAGACGGGGAGAGGAGCAGTCGGCGCCGGGGTGGGGGGGATGCAGGACGTCCGGGATCTGGTGGACCGAGGGATGGTGGGAGAGGAATGTTGGCTCAGGGAGAGGGAGGTGTGCTTGTGTGGAAGAGAGGAGGTGGAGTAGTGAGAAGAGGAATGAGGGTGGGAGCTGGACTGATGGGGGAGAGTTGAGGAGTGTGGATGGGAGGAGGAGGAGGAGGAATGGGGGAAGATGTTCCTGTCGTAGATAGAAGCGCAGGGGATGCTGGTGACACGTGGAGGCGACTCGACTTCCTTTTTCTGTGAGAAGATCAAAGACAGAAGAAAAGTTTCAGTCTGTTCAGCGTTCTTCAGGCTTTCTGAAGAGATTAAAGATTATTTTTCTTTTTCATTTGTTTTCAGTCCAGTGCTGCATTCAGGCATCAGAAAGAACCTAAAACACAGTAAATAAACTTGTTTCCACAGAACCAAAGGCGGGACAAACTGATGAGCTAATAAAGACTAATCTGAGTGCACCAAGTATCAAAAAGGACTTTGTCGTCATAAAACAACTCCAAAACTTTACAGAGGCTCATGCAAACTCTACTATTTAAACCTTCACGCCACCTTCAAATCTAAATTATGCTGGTACTTCAGCAGAAAATACTTTTGCAGGAAGTGAGCCGTGGATGCTTTGAAGTGCTGGATGCTATTTGTGCTTGTAAATAACTGAAATATGAAAGTGACGGTGATGAAGTCAAAAGAATTTGAAGAAATGTTTGTCATCGTTTTAAAACACCAACAGTCCACTTGGTCTTAGCTGCGTTCATACGGTCCTTTTTCTCCAAATCGAGGGCTTTCATGAACAAATCTGCATTTTCATTCTCCAGATGTAACCACTGTATACAGAAATACTGGTCTTTGCATGTTAAAACTGAAATGGGATCAGCGACCCAGTAGGCTGCTCCAAGTACTGGTTTTAACTCCCCACCATATGAACGAATAGGACTTAAGTACCGTATTTTCCGCTGTACACGTCGCACCGCTCTATAAGTTGCACCAGTCCAAATATGTCTAATAAAGTGGAAAAAACATAAATACGTCTCTTCTTTGTATACGTCGCATCTATTATGTGTCACCGCTGACAACCTGGAAATGTGGGCCGGTGTTGTGCCAAAAATCGATTGCCTGCCAAATGGCAGCTGCGGTAGCATGCACGGGAGGACTTGAACAAGAATTTAACAAGATTAACACTTAAAAACAATTATTTGTATGTTCAAAATTATAGCAAAGATGTGTCAGTTTAACTTTTACTTAATAAATGCACTTTAACGGTCAAATCATCTGCATTTCAAAAGTATTCGCTGCCTCGGCGCTACGGAAGCGCACTCTGAGGGAGGAAATCAGGAAGGAGGGAAGCTGCGCATTTCTTTGAAATTTAACAAGATAACCACCTAAAACAATTATTTATTTGCATGACATTATAGTAAAGGTGTGTCTGAGTTGAACTTTTACTTAATAAATGCACTTCAATGGTCAAATCAGCTGCATTTCACCGGGGCAGCGCAGCAAAATGAAGCTGATTTGACGGTTGCTCAGGCGAGCTGGACAAAGGTGAGGTTATGGCAAGCCGATTGTGTCATTAATAGCCACTTTTACCTATTACGTGACAAAACGGCATGCAATACAGCTTGAGTGTCATCTAGTGGCTGAAAATGGTAGTGCTCAGTTATTTTCTTCAGTCGGAATGAATGAAAACGGTCATATCTCAAACAAAAATTGGTTTATAAATATGGGGAAAAGTCCATAAATACATCGCTTTGGTGTATAAGTCACAGGGCATGCAAATTATGAAAAAAAAACGTGGCGTATAGGCCAAAAAAAATGGTATTAAGGGACAAATTTGCTTTTATTATTTTCAGGTGCCGACACGTTGATTCACGTAGTTCTCATCTTGCTGCAGTTTGTTCTAGTATTCATTTTTCTAACGTGAACTGTAATTAGTTATTTCATGCTCAAACATCATTAAACACCATAATTGACCTTTTTACATTTAGTAAAGCACAGAATTGAGCACCACATGCTCAAATACACCCACAGCTGCTTCAGATATTTGAGGTCGGCGTTCAGTTCGAATGTTACAGTCCTTTACACCTGCTTTTTGTTGACTTTTATAAACTACGGTCTTTAAAAATTCGATTGAAGCCGAGCAAACTAACTTCTTTATTAAGTTCTGTTAAGGTTTTAACAAGCACCATGCGGATGACCCCCGTCGCTGAGGGATTTGAACAGTGAATGTGTGTAGTTTTCGAGAAGAGTATTTGTCTGGACTGGAACTGAACAGGGAATGAAGTAAACCTACATGTTTTTAGTGCAAGATATTCAAGTGGGGAGAAGTTACACTGTGGAGAACAGAGGTAGGTTTTTTGTTGTTGTTGCTTGTCCAAGGCGTCAGAGTGATGGATCCTGGTGAGTGGAAGGTGCAATGGCAGAGCCAGGGGGTGGCCAATGGTGCCACCATAGATTAATCTTTGGCCACCCCAGTCATTTGAGGAAACTATACTTTTAAGCAATATAAAAACTAGAAAGAATACCGGTAGTTTTGATGTGGCAACACAATTTTCAATAGTGACCTTTCTTCTGCCTAGTTGCAGCCGCACACCAAATTTTAAGTCAGTACCTCACGGTATTTTTCCAAGTTATCCAGCTCACAAGATGGACGGACAAAGGGTGTTTCCAATTCCTCTTAAAATGTCAGTTAGGTACAGGAAGTAGGCAGGACCGAAAACATTACATCACTATTGCTAAAACAGCTAGTGCTTCCAAAAACACAACATGGCTTCACTTCCCAACACGAGGTCTGGTATTCTAATATATGAGAAGTAACATAAATAAAAACAAAGTGTTGGAGTTCTTGAAGTGTTAAAGTCAGAGCGGTGGGCGGTCAGGTCAGAGCACTCGAGCCACAAAAACACAGTCTGGCCTCAGCTCAGAGTCTGTCCGGCTGCAGGGGAGCACATTTTGATGTATACGTTGTGCGTTGAACTGACAAAACTCACCCTCATGGTTGGCGTGACACTCCCGGGGCGGGACTTGTTGTCACGAGGCCTGAGGGAGCTGTTGTCCCCGGCAACAGGGGGGTGAAGCTGCAGCTGATGCCTCTCTTCCTGCAGGGGAGGAGGACAAGGAAGGACCGATTCAGGATGCACTTGTTTATCACACAGCTCCGTGTTTATAAAACTGTTTGTCTCCTACACAAACGGCCACACACGATTAATGAGGCGGCCGTTCCAGTTGTATCCCAAGAGGCACTTAATGAAAACCGCTGGGCTGTTTGCACAGAAGCAGATTCCTCTGATGAGCTTCTTCAGATTTTTCCACTTGTCATCAAATAATCTGGTCTGTGTTCAGAATCCTAATATGAAACATGTTTTGTATTTTTATTTTTTGCATTTGCTGATAAGAACTGGGACAGAAAAGCTGAAAGAGTGGTTCAGCAATGAATGTCTCTACAAGGAAAAACACGGAGGACGCTGCAGGTTAATGACTGACACGACGGCTCAACCTGCAGAATATTAAAGGGCTCAAATTCATGAAAGGTTCTAGCTGCTACAGTTAAAAGGTTAAAATCAACCTTAAACTCTCCAGTGTTCTGTTCCTGTGGCGTGAAACCTTTAATGAAGTCGTTATTTCATAAACACAGCTGTAAGAATAGAGTAAAACACAAAATGTGATAATGACTGAAAAACGTGTGTGCCCTAACGAGGAGGATTTGTTGCCTTGGTAATCCTGCATGTTTCTCTGAAAGGTGTAATGCTAAAATAAATCAAAGCACGTTAATCAGTCGGAGATGAACATCCAGTGGTTACTTCCTGGAATTTGGTTTAGAATCTGTCCAGATGTTTGCTAACTGACAAACAAACAAATGCAGTAGTTCCTCATAGAGTTGCATTCGGGCCTAAAAAAAATCCAACCTGACCCGGTCCCAGCCCGTAGCCTTTATTTCTGAACTTGACCGGACCTGACAGATTAACTGTAATCAGAGGTCTGAACCCGCAAAAAACCCCTGGAGGTTATGAATATAACCGATGTTCCCTTGGGGGGGAGAGAGAAACGAGGTACAACCCTTCCTCTAAAATTGCTGTATCTTCCTATATCTCAGCTAATTTAAACAAAATGTAATTTTTAGCTGAATTCAATAAAGAGTTTTAAAACAGTTAAATGAGAGCTAATGGGCCCTGAGTTTTCTCACCACCAGTCGTTTGATGAGCTGGTCTCGCTCCATCAGCCGCTCCTGAAGTCTCCCCAGCTGCGGGTCGTCACATGGAGGCTCCCTCCTCCTGCACCGCTCCTCCCGCTCACGCAGCCTGCAGGTACACACACACCTCGTCACACACACCTGCACCGACGTTAGGGTGGCACGAGATTGGATTTTTGGCCGATATCCGATATGCCAATATGTTAAAACTTATTTGGCCAATAACCGATACCAATACCGATACTTTTCCCCTAGACCTACTTACTTTCTCTGCTGTGGAATTAAAATACTACATTATTCTGCACGGTCTTTGTCAGTTTGGCCTGCTACCAGATGCAGATGCCAAAAAGGGGTCTGAAAATGATGTAACAATTCAACTTATGATTATGTTTAATGTCAAATTTATTCATGACATTTACTCTCTCTATGACAACACTCGAACAGTCATATATAAACAGCGTCCATTAAATAAATATATATATATATATATATATATATATATATATATATATATATATATGTATATTGGTTCGGTCCATGTGCATACCATTTGACCGTGCAAGAAGAGATATTGTTATTGTATTATGAGCTAATTCACTTTTTTAACTTACAAACCAGATTCCAAAAAAGTTGGGACACTAAACAAATTGTGAATAAAAACTGAATGCAATGATGTGGAGATGGCAAATGTCAATATTTTATTTGTAATATAACATAGATGACAGATCAAAAGTTTAATCTGAGTAAATTTAACATTTTAAAGAAAAAATATGTTGATTCAAAATTTCACAGTGTCAACAAATCCCAAAAAAGTTGGGACAAGTAGCAAAGAGTGGCTGGAAAAAGAAATTGAGCATAACAAACAGCTGGAAGACCATTTAACACTAATTAGGTCAATTGACAACATGATTGGGTATAAAAAGAGCTTCTCAGAGTGTCAGTGTCTCTCAGAAGCCAAGATGGTAAGAGGATCACCAATTCCACCATTGTTGCACAGAAAGATATTGCAGCAATACCAGAATGGTGTTACCCAGCGTAAAATAGCAAAGACTTTTAAGTTATCATCATCAACCGTGAATAACATCATCAAAAGATTAAGAGAATCTGGAACAATCGCTGTGCGTAAGGGTCAAGGCCGTAAAACTCTACAGGATGCTCGTGATCTCCGGGCCCTTAAACGTCACTGCACCTCAAACAGGAATGCCACTGTCAAGGAAATAACAGAATGGGCTCAGGAATACTTCCAGAAAGCATTGTCAGTGAACACAATCCACCGTGCCATCCGCCGTTGCCAGCTGAAACTCTTCATTGCAAAGAGGAAGCCATTTCTAAGCAAGCTCCACAAGCTCAGACGTTTGCACTGAGCCAGGGGTCATTTAAAATGGAGTGTGGCAAAATGGAAGACTGTTCTGTGGTCAGATGAGTCATGATTTGAAGTTCTTCATGGAACACTGGGACACCATGTCATCCGGACCAGAGAGGACAAGGATAGCCCAAGTTGTTATCAACGCTCCGTTCAGAAGCCTGCATCACTGATGGTATGGGGTTGCATGAGCGCTTGTGGCATGGGCAGCTTGCATGTCTGGAAAGGCACCATTAATGCAGAGAACTATGTTCAGGTTCTAGAACAACATATGCTCCCATCTAGACGTCATCTCTTTCAGGGAAGACCCTGCATTTTTCAACACGATAATGCCAGACCACATTCTGCAGAAATCACAACATCATGGCTACGTAGGAGAAGGATCCGGGTACTGAAATGGCCAGCCTGCAGTCCAGATCTTTCACCTATAGAGAACATTTGGCGCATCATAAAGAGGAAGGTGCAACAAAGAAGGCCCAAGATGATTGAACAGTTAGAGGCCTGTATTAGACATGAATGGGAGAGCATTCCTATTCCTACGTCTGTTGAGTGTTGTAAGACGAAGGGGGGATGCCACATAGTGGTAAAAATGGACTTGTCCCAACTTTTTTGGGATTTGTTGACGCCATGAAATTTGGAAACAACAGATTTTTCCTTTAAAATGATACATTCTCTCAGTTTAAACTTTTGATCTGTGATTTGTGTTCTATTCTGAATAAAATATTAGATGTTGGCACCTCCACATCATTGCATTCAGCTTTTATTCACAATTTGTTTAGTGTCCCAACTTTTTTGGAATCCGGTTTGTAAAATTATAATCTTATTAACTCAGTTTCTTTTTACCTCTTTGTGTTTGCAGTCTGAGGATGTCACTGAGAGCTGAGCTGCTGAGTCTTCTTCATCTTCAGGGAGATTTATTTATTTATTTTTATACAAACATATTGTTTACTTGGCATATTTTCAAAATAAACATTTTGTAATTCTTTATTTTGCCTTTTTTGTACCGAAAATTAACCGAACAGAGCCCTATTTGAAACTGAACCGAACCGAAATGTGATTTTAGCGTACCGTTACACCCCTAATATATATGAAAATATGAAAAGCACCTTTTATATCAGTGAGTTATTTTGATGGAATGGCTGATGTTCGATATTTAACTTTATCGTTAACATCGGCCAATATCGATACCATGCCGATAATATCGTGCATCCCTAACCAACGTTAAATCGACAAATGTTTGTGGCCTCCACTCACTCGTTCTCCAGAGCCACGATCCGAGCCTGCAGGTGGTTCTGGGCGCTGCTGTACTCCGAAATCAAACTCTGCATCTCCCTCTTGTGCTCCCTCCTGAGCTCCTCCACCTCCTCTCTCCTCTTCTCCTCCTCCCGTTCTTTCTTCTTCTCCTCGTCCACCTCCTCTTCCTTGATGTCGTCATCTTTCCTGTCCTCCCAGTGTTTCTGGGACTCCTCCAGTTTCTCCATCTCCACCCTCAGTTTCTCCACCTCCTCCTTCAGGCGCTGTGCTTCCTCCTCCAGCTGAGCGTCTCTCGTCTTCCTCACATCTGTGCTCTCCTCCTCCTTCTCCTCCACCTCTGAATTCTTCTGCACCGATCTGGGAAAAAGAAGGACATACAAGTGAAGAACAGACGTACTGGGTACAAACCTTGTAAATGACGTTATGCGCCACCTCACGTAACACTGTGAAACATTACAAGTTGTAGTAGTCCTCAGATTATGTGTTGTGATCCACTCTCAGCTACTACCATACCTCATTTTAGCTCAAAACAAGAAAAAATGACCAAGTTATATACGTTTTTGTGTTAGCTAAAGTTGATAAACCATGGAGGCCATCTTTAATTTGTTAATCTGTTTTTGTTGGTTTCTATGTTTTTGGTGTCCTGTTATGTAATCTGTTGCTGTGTGCTTGTTCTGTTTGTCCCTGTACAGCACTTTGGTGTGCTTTGTCACTGTTTAAAGTGCTATATAAATAAATTGGTATGGTATGGTATGGTAATTTGAATCACGCCAAAGCTTAATGAACTGCATATTTACTTTCTCCAAGTTTGATCAAAATCCATTCAGTGGTTCATGAGATATTTTGCTAACAGACAATAAGGGATGACGCTAACATTTACGTCAAAGTTTGAGGCAAAAAAATATAACATCATGTGGAGTGTTTGGAGTGGGTATTGTGAATTATCCTCAGCTACTAACACACTAAATTTGACCTCAATAGCTACAAAACTGACCAAGTTAGAGCCATTTCTGTGTTTCCTACAACCAGTTGTACGTGGCGGCCATCTTGAATTGGACGAGCGCCCCCTTGTGGCAGGCTGCAGTACAGTTTTTAAGTCCTGCCGCACATGCAAGCTGTATTTTCTGACAAAAACCTAAATTTACACTTTAGACGTTAATGTTCAGTTTGATCTTGCGGCTCCATGATCAGATTTTTTTTAAACAGTTTCATTTAGTTACTTTTGACTTTTAAAATAAGTCTTGTTGCTCTGTGACAACATGACAGCTTGTTAGCAAGTTGGGATGGTGTGCAGGCGGGTCTTTTGTACCGACGGTTCAACCCCACATCCTGACAACATAAATACATGAGCAGGCAGGAAAATGACATTCTGGCTTTAAACCTGGACACTGGAAGATAATGGGGTCTTTGTTTAAAAGCAGCATGAACTAGATACCTGCAGATTAGAAATTATATAACTAAACATGTGGAATGGGACAATATTAAGAAATAATCTACTGTTTTGTGCACGTGATTGAAAAGCAGACACTAACCAACAAATTAATCTCTGTAATGTATGGAAAATTGTTGACAAATTTGTCAGATAACACATTATGTATTAAACACAGTGGGACCTGGAGATGAATGTAACATTAACAGATGAATCCTGGGACAACGTGTGCTCCCAGTTCCATCAAGGGAGCCGGAGCCTGGTCTGGAAAGAGTTTGACTGGAAAATGAAAACTAGATTTTTTAAAAACTCCATTAAAAACTTTTAATTCCAAGAGCACAACTACAGATAAATGCTGGAGTTATTGTGGTCTAGTCGGTAACCACACGTCTTTTGAGACCGCCCCAAAATTAAGACCTTTTGGGAGAACATTAAACAGAAGATGGAGAACGTTCTAAGGACAGATCTTCCCATGGACCCTCTTTTATTTCTGCTGGACATATATCCCAAGGATTTACTCACTAAGATCAATGTTATGTATTGCACATCCTATTAGTGCCAAGAAAGACTATTACTCTAAACTGGATTAAGCTCTGCTCACCAACTGTTGCTCAGTGGACGCACAAATTGAAACATCTATGTGATGAACGTCTGACTGCCCAACTAGAAATAAAAATGGATATTTTCTTACAAAGACGGTCAGGACTGTCTATTCTATTTGACTAATCTGCATGTTGCTTGATTCTGCACGTGTTTATTGAGACCAGTCTTAAAACTTTTTTGTTCTTCATTGTCTATAAATTGTCGTTGTTGTTATACTTTGAGGTAATAAATAATAAAAAAAAAGCAGTATGTCTCAGTTTTGTTATGTAAATTTGAGCACAGTTTTGGAGGATCTTCATATACCGTACCAATAATCTAGTGGTAAGTGCTTTAAAAAGTGATAAGGAGTCAGATCATTTGTGGGATGGCAGAAAACTTAAAGAATGAACAGTTTCAGGTGCATGTTCTGATTTGAAATGGCAGCGTCTCTTATTGAGGTTGAAATTAAGGTTCAATTTGTGCCACAGAGTCAGGAAAGATGAGCTTGTCCTATTTCGACTCATGGTCTTGGAATGATCTGCAGCTTAAGCTGATGGACTCTTTTATTATTTTATCTGGTTTAAAACAAAAACTGTCAGAAGTTTGAGTCACATCTTGCACCTGTAATGTTTAAGTGTCTTAAATTGTAAAATTGTTTTAACTTGCATTGTATTTTATGTTCTACGACCGGCTGTTTTGTTGTAAATATTTTAATACTGCTCTTACTGTTGCTGTATTTGTAATGGCCTGCTGTTTGCACATTGCCCAGAACTTCATTGTAAAAGAGATTAATAATCTCAATGGATTTATTTACTGGTAAAATAAAGGCTTAAATAAATAAATGAATTGCTCAAACTACCGCTCCTTGAGTTGTTTCTTCAGCGCTGCGTTTTCTCTCTGCAGCTCCAGCATGGCGCAGCGACTCTCGTCCAGCTGCCGCTCAAACACCTGGTTCTGGTTCTGCTGCTTCAGGTCCTTCACGCACAAACACACACGAGCACAACAGATCAAAGATTTTCTCTCAACGTCCGAGACTCAGATTTCAGCTTTTAATAGTCGGTCGTGCTCCACGCAGTGTCGCGCTGACAGCCGTGGAGGTTCCCACAGATATGAACGATAATAATAAAATCAGGAATAAAACGCTGTCATTTGCGCGAGTGTGCACGCAGCGAGATTGACGTTGGGCGGTGCGCTCGGCGCAGGGTGTACACACTTGTTGCAGAGCCATCATCTGTGTGTGCGCTTGTAGCTGGGCCTGGAGGTCCTCTATCTGCTGCAT